TTCTATTTTATACTAAATTATGCTTGGTGGTTAATAAATTTGTTTTCTAAAATAGCAACAATTATGGGAAGTATGGACAATGGGCCATATTAATCCTGGCGTAATCCAACTGACCATTGGTCCGATTAGTTTCTTCTGGACAAACTGTCAATTCAGCAAAAATATTAGGTGTGGCTACACTCCAATAGTTCAGTAAAAATGTAGTGACACGATAATCATTGTAGGGATCTGTGCAAAACTGTAGTGTTCCCTTACAATGCTTTTATTTTTTAAAGTTACTTATAATTTGTTTAATCAGATTTATCACAGGGGATAACATAGTGGTCTAAATTTAGAACATAAGAATAGCCATGTTGGGTCAGACCAGTGGTCCATCTAGCCTAGTATCCTGTCTTCTGACAGTGGCCAGTGCCAGATGCTTCAAAGGAAATTAACAGAACAGGGCAATTATCAAGTGATCCATCCTCTGTCATCCAGTCCCAGCATCTGGCTTAGGGACACCCTGCTTCCGCAGTCTTCATGCAGTCAAGACTCCTGCTGAAGCCAATGGAAGTTTTGTCTGTATAAGGACAGCAAGAGCAGGTCCCAGGTTTGGAATACTCAGACTTCCTGGAATCAGTCTAGAATCCCAGCATTGTTTAACTCAGCCAGTCATCCTTCATGGAGTCTGCTGTGTGTGCGCAAAAAAAAAAAAAGACTTTAAAATCCAAGGTCCTGTCTCTGTATGGACAATAAAGGCCTCATTGCGCTTTCCATAAAAAGGTTTGCTCTAAGTCCTTGCCCACTGGAACATAGAAATTGCCATACTATACCTACCGGCAAAACTTTACATACGGATTAGGCCTTAAAGGCTGGCTTATGCCCTGAAATTTGAGAGTTTGTTTCACTTCCAAATCTTGTTTGCTTTTTAAAATATTTACTATTATACCTCCAAAGTTTCCCTACAGTATTTTGTGTGCCTGTTCGCTGCACGGCTGCTGCTTTCACTCCAGAGGTGGCTACATTTTCATAGTGGCTGTCACCATAAAGCTGATGTAACTTCACTGAATTCGGTGGAGTTACAGTAGAGTAAAACTGATATAAGAAAGTAGAGAATGAGGTCCAAAATGTGCGTGAAGCATTTTTGGGATCCTTAAGGGATGAAAGGTGCTATTACCTTCTCAGCATGGTAAGTATCTATTTGTCACCTATACTGAATCTGAAAATGTTACTTAGGCCTGGAGATTTTCTTCTTCTGTAACGTAAGGTGAGGGATTTGCTCAAGACCAGGATGATACACAAGTATGGCATGTTAGGAAAGACGGGCACTGCACAAAGGGGAAGTGGAAATCACAGGGTTAAGAGACAAACATCCAGAAATGGATTCCAGAGTCATGAAGCAGGCTACATGACTCAGCACAGGAAGACCACCTGCCCACTGATGACATATCAAAACTGATAACAGTCAGGAAGGCAGCTGGGCATTCTGGATGGATAAAAAGGTGCCAGGCAGCAGCTGACAACAGCAGGGGAGAAGGCGTGAGGGAATGAAACAGAAGCCCTTAAACCACAGAGGTCCATTTTGTTAAACTTATTTAAATCCTAATTTTGTGAGGTACTGAGCGCCTCCAACTCCCATTGGGATGAAATTAAGTTGGAAGGCTCAGTACCACATAGAATATATATTTTTAATTTCATATATTTTTACAGCTGGGCTGATTTTATTTATTTAACAGGGAGGTGACAGGGCTTGCTGTCATACAGTGAGTGGGTCAGAGCATCCTGCTTCCGTTCCAGTAGATCACAAGGTATCCTTAAGAATGGGAGCCACTAAACAACTCATATTACCAAGTCCCATTTCCACCAGCCCCCAACACCTTCTAGTGTTTGTCTGTATAACAGAAGTTGGGTGAATAGGTTCAGAGCAGTATTTTATCTTTTGGACAAAGTCCCAATTTCAGTTGAACCGGTTCTCAGATAGGAGCATGTGCAGTGACACGCAACTTGTAAATGCAGTTGCTACACTGATCTTACAAGATATACACCCATATATCAGACGCAAAATCAAGCCCTTAAAAGTTATATGTTGATGTATCAGTTAGATTGTGACAAAAGAATAATAAATTGGAGACTTACTGGAAACATGGGAAGAATTTTACGGAGCTCTTCTAATACCGATATTGGGTCAGACCCTCAGTTGGCTGAAGTCAGTGGAGGAATGCTGATAGACACTAGCCAAGCATATGGATCAAAGGCTTTGGGGAGGTTTTAATTTGATTGTTTCTAAAGCAGTTTGAAAGGGAACATGTTCTGGTGCTTCAGAGCACAAGGCTGGGATTCTACTCTTGGCCCTGCTACCGACTTTCTGTGTGACCTTGGATAACTCATTTGGCACCAGAATATCTAAAGAGCTCAACTCTCAGACACCTGAATGACAGGACGAGATTTTCTGAAGTGTTCAGCAGCCAGCAGCTGTCACTGCAAACAAGGATTGAGCACAATGGATGCTGCTCGCTGCTAAGCACTTTTGAAAATCTGGCCATTGAAGCATGAAAAGGGACAATGTGCAGTTCCTTGTTTCAATATCCCTAATTCAACTTTGTACAGCGAACAAGTATAAAGATGTGATTTTTTCCTAATATTACACTTAATCATTTACATTGTGACAGACCCTAACCGGCTCAATTATTCAGGACCCTGTTGTTCTATGCACTGTACAAACATAACAAATGACAATCCTTGCCTTCAAAAGTTTATTATTTGCGTTTCTGGTTTTCAGGGTTCATTTTTTCAAGGTTTATTTTTAGCAATTTTTGAGTTTTATGTAGATATCCAAAAATCGGGGGTTTTCAGGGTTTTCTTTGTGTATATTATAACGGGTAATGTACATTATGTATTATATACATTACCGTAATGGGAACTCTCGTTGTAATGTTCCCTAGTGCACTTTAATATAGTACTGTTTCAAAACAGCACTGTTAAAACACAGTAGGGAATCTTTAGTGAGCACCAGAAGGGTCTATTCTAACCAATTAATGTGCGACACTGAGTGTGACTTCTGAAGTGCACTCTGGTAGTCTGCATTACTGCTCTGTGTAAACAAGCCCTTAGATACAAGTAACCATTTCTGGTGTTTTTCCAGTGTTTATTAGGTTAACACATATATATATTTTTTTAACCGGGGGTGTTTAATCGGTGTTTATCAGCTAAAACCTAAAATTAGAAGCCCTACTTATAATCAAGTGTCATTCTGTCAAACACGGAATTCAAGATCTGAAGGTCAAGCTGGGCTTTTTTCTGGCTTGTGCATCATCATCCAGAATAAAACTTTTGCGAGACAACCTGGTCATTGATGAAGATGTATAACCATTATCCCAAGCTTTTAAAGCTTGGTCCTGCTAGTGAAGGCAGGGGGCTGGACTCGATGACCTTTCAAGGTCCCTTCCAGTTCTAGGAGATGGGATATCTCCATTAATTATTTATTATTTATTTATTTTAAAATGGTTTACTGCACAGTTCTCAAGGGAGAACATGGCTGTGTTCATGCAAATGACCATGTAACAATCAGTGGTAGTTTTCAATAGAGTTACTTGGTAATTGATGCATCACCTCGGACACAATTCTTCAGTGAGCCGGCATGGGAGCATCAGAGGCTATGATCTGATCTGCAATTGTAATTGAGGACCAAACCCTAAAAGGCACTAGAGCACCGTCCAACAACTACTGACCTTGATGGGAGAAGAAAAGACTAGGTCTCTCTCAGGATTCATCTGTTAACAATTCTCTTGATGCATCAGGGGGAAAAGATTCCAGCTCTAGCTCTCATAATGGGTATGTTTACACTGCACTCAGAGGTGTAACTGCAGCACACATAGACGCACCCAAGTTACCTTCGATCTAGTAACAAAAAAGTGAAGCGGTGGCAGCATGGGCTGTATAAGCCGGCCTGGGACTCTGGGCAGGAACTCAGGTGGCTAGCCTGTCCTGGCTTCACTGCTATTTAGATCAAAGCTAGACTGGGTATGTCTACATGGGCTGCAATCACCCCTCGGATTGCTGGCTCTGTGGCGCTCAGAGGGATAGAAGAATAGTAAAATCTTATTTTTGTTAATGGAGTTAAAAGCTATTCTGAATTGCTTTTCAGATTAGAATGGTATGCGAAGCATTTTGTGCATTGGATTCCCCAACTACAAAACAAGAATAATATATATTCTTACAAAAAGAACAGGAGCACTTGTGGCACTTTAGAGACTAACAAATGTATTTGAGCATAAGCTTTTGTGGGCTACAGCCCACTTCATCGGATGCGACTCTGAAACCTGTCATATATTCTTACCTACTTCACAGGGATGCCATGAATCTAACACATTTATGTGTGTAAAATGCTTTGAGACCCCTCAATGGAAAGGTGTTAGAGAAGTGCACAGTTGTATTAGCTATCCCCATTTTAAATGTGATAGCAAATGTAACATCCTCTATGCAGTTACAGTGTAAGACACCAATTGCCACTGAAACACGTGGCTGATCTCATGAAGAAAAAAAGAAATAAAAGCAACTCAGACAAAACCACAGAATCACAAGGGAAGGCTGCTGTATTTCTCTCCTCCCCATACCTCCCTTTTCAGCATTTTAAACAGTTTCAACATGCTAAAAATATTTCTGACTTCTTCTTTAAGCTGTCTGGTTGTTTTCTTACAGACGCTATCTCAGCATTACACGGTCAATACAACTGACAACATATAATTGCTTCCTTGCTCCTGAAATCGATGGAATGTTTCCCCTTCACTTTCTCTTAAGCATGCTGCACACACAAGAAACCAGGCTAGGAGGTAATAAAAGTGCTAGGAAACAACAGCTCCAGACGCTAAATACATTGTACTGAACATGCAATGAAAAATACACAAACAGATCATACACTTCAGTTTCATATTTAAAGCAATAACCTATGTGACAGGAGTTCTACACGGGAACGATCAAACAAAAGCTACTAAAAAGAAGGGATCGATTTCTGAGCAACGCACCTTCTGACCAGGGTGTTGTGACCTCTCTCTTTAGCTTCTAAAATATTCTTCTTCATTGCATAATCCTGAGCCTTGGAAAAGTCAGAGCCTCCCAGTTCCTTCTTGGCAGTTACCTGCCCCTACAGGTAGTAAAAGATTAGAGGGATCAGAACCACAGTGTTTATGAAACGTTCCCCCCCCTCCACAGTCTAAAGTTCATTTCTTATTCTTAAAATGGAAGGAGTAGTTGCATCAAAAAAATAAAAAACCACGATGAAAAGGAAGCACACACCCATATGGAAAAAAATGGCAAAAGATGAGGCATGCTGACTGCAATGCTTTGTAAACCCTGTCACTAGCAGAGACAAACACCACTAGATGGAATAGAAGGAAAAACTCGGTTTGTTTTCTCTATACCTGCACAACCTCACAACTGTGCATCTCCTACTGAAGACACACACGACTATCAGACCACTCTTGAGATCATCTTTCTTAGGTTTAAGATCACACACGACAGCGAGCAAGATTCTCTCCTTAGTTAATGCTACAATTACTAGTATTTCTAAAAGAGACATGCAACCCTATCGATTGTAGCTAAGGGCAGAACATTTGGCCCAGCAAACCCATTCCTACAGTGGGTTGGTGTCAGAGGAGAAGGCTGAAATGCAGCAATAATAATAATAAAAAAATCATAGTTGTAGAATTAGGGCCCTGCCAAATTCAGGGTTGATTCTGGTCAATTTCAGGGTCATAGGATTTTAAAAAACAGCATAGTATCAGACACCAAATATTAAATGGCTGTAGACTTTTTAAAATAGTTCTGATAACAAAAGGTCGATAGCAGATCAAATTTACTGAATCTACTGGTGGGCACAAACTTCTGCCTGGCCATGTCTCCACTACAAAAAAGGTGTATTTCTTTTCTTTTTTACAGCAGGCTAACTAACATTCATTAGCTACCCTGCTGTAAAATCTTAGTGGATTCAAGGCACTGAAGTTTGATTTTGCCTAGCTACCTCCTGGTAAAAGCTATGGTGCCTTGTCTCCACTAGAATTTACAGCAGGATAGCTAATGCGCATTAATTATCCCACTGTAAACACACATCTTTTTGGCAGTTAAGACAAAGCCTATGACTTCCCACAGCATTCATTCACCTCCATTTAAGGTTCAAAAGGTCTCAGCTTTATTACAATAAAAACTGAAAATGTACTGTGCACAACTTAATATAATTTAACAGGATAGCCCAGCAATCATCTTAACAATAGCCCAATTGTAGCTGCCATGGGAAGGTCATAGCTAGGTCCGTAACTGACAGGGTGAATTAAAAAACAACTATGTATAAGTCACAGTAAACTATTTCCAGTGTTATAGTAGATGTAAAAAAGATAAAAAAACCTCTATTAGTATTTTATAATTTTTAAAAAAAGGTTTTGAAAATTCAAGCCCTACTTCATTGAAAAAAGACAGTTTTGAAGTTTGGAAAATGCTTGTATCCTTGCTGGTATCTCCTGAGTTTGATGTATGAGGGTGAGGAAACAGTAGGAATGCCCAGATTTGATCTATCAGTCCCTCCCATGTTCAGTACAGGGACATTTTACATAGTCTCTAAAGTGCCAGGCATACCTACAGTACTACGGATATACTAATTTAAAAATATCAGATTCGTTGTGCCACCTTGTTAGTGTGCCGTGGCCAAATGAGAAATAATCAGTAATTATTATTGTACATACTTCCATAAAATCTTTCACCAAAAGACTGCAAATGGCTTTACAAAGTTGGAGATTATTATGGATTCAGAGTGGTAGCCGTGTTAGTCTACAAACAACAAGGAGCAGTCTCTAAGGTGCCACAAGTACTCCTCGTTGCTTTTGGAGATTACGATGTTCATTTTACCAGGGGTGGTGGTGGTAACTAAGGCTCAGAGAAGTTAAGTGACTTGCCAAAACTGCGTAGTGAGTCAGAGATGGAGTGGGTAACACAACTCAAGTCTCTTGATTCCTAGCCCTGTCCTCTAACCATGCTAGCCCTGTCATGAAGTCAGCCAATCTGATCTTGCCTAGTGTGCCTGGAGTACTGCCAAATGTTTCCTGTTCTCTACTGTTTCTATGTGTCATTACCGAGCTGCACCATGAAGAATGCTAATAAAGTTGGTTCAACTCTTTAGTTGCATACTTGCCCATCCATTCACCCACTCCTACATTCTCTCGCTTGCCAAACTAATTAAACGCCCACGCACATATTCTCTTAATCACTCACCCACCCAATCACACATTCTTTCATTCACTTTCCCATTCAGTTACACAATCTGATTCTCAAACACCTTCGGTTCATTCGCCTATAATCTTGTACTTTCTACAGTCTACGTAGCCTAGCCTCTCTCACCACCTAAACCAGCGCGCACTTCTAGATGGACCCTACTCAATTATGCTGCTGTGCGGGCTTCATGGATCCCTCTGGCCAATGTCCAGCTTTGCACAACAGCTGTCCTCTTTTTGGGGGAGGGAGAGGCATTTATTGTGGAGCCAGTCCTTTAGTTCTTCGTGAACAAAACATTTTGGTAAATTCTCTAGGTCCAAACTGAGTAGGCACCCAATCCTTCTGGTGGCACAGCAGCCTGGAATTAGTTCTCTGTATAGCCATACAGTAAACCAACATTTAAAAAAATGTCCTCAACAAGAGAAACAATGATAAAGGACAATTCGGAAGGGAGTTGACTTTGTAAAAATAAGAAGTAGGTAAGGGGATACTTGGAAAATTTGAACACATAAAACAGCTGGTCTGGTTGATATATCTCAGGGTATTACGGGAATTAGTCAGTGTATATCTTTTTCCTTCACAATTGTTTTTCTCTGTCATTTTCTACACTTGCAATCTGTCTACACTACAGCTTCCATTGTTGCTACAATTGGAGAATTATGCGTTCAAATATTCCCAGTGTAGATGCACTTTAAGGGCTCAGCGACATGGGAGATTTTTCCAGTTATACCAGTATATACTTATGGGGAGTTATAGTGCTAATGTGAACACTCTTATTCAGAAATAAGAATGGTTTCCAAAGTGATATAAGCTAAAACAGTAAAAAGTACAATCATACCAGAATGAGTGTCCATGTAGGGAGTTATTTACTGGGGTTTAAATTCACACCATCTCTTATTGTAGACAAGTACTAAAGGAGCTCAGTTAAGTGGTTTCTAAGATTGGGAAACTATCATGCTCTACCCCTTTCATATTTGAAGGACATTATTACTAAGGGGGGAAATGATATGGGATGGAACAAGGGAATATAAACTAGGAATAATATGGTGAAACTAAGAAATGGTAAGTGTAGGCTGAATATCAGGAAAAATCATCTTGCCAGTGAGGTCTGCATGGCTGTGGAATAGATTCCTCAGGAAAGAGGTAAAAGACCAGCACTTAGAATATTTGTAACTATAGTGGAATAAACTGTAGAAAATTTTCTGTAGAGAACATGAATTGCCCTGGAGATGGTCCATATGATCTAATAGACATTTCCATCTCTAACGTCTAGGATTCTGTAATTCCATACATCAGTCCTTATCATAGGGATGGCAAACACTAGCAGCCACTCTCCTAGCCTCCTGATAATCAAGTTTATAATCAAGATGTATAATTAACATATGATGCTCTAACATAACTGCTTGCGGCCCAATCAGCACACAGCTGCGGCCCATGTGACATCCTCGGGGCCGTAAGGTAGTATATATATTGCATGGATGCGGCCCATATAACACATAGAGAGCTGTGTATGCAGCCCACAATGGTAAATAAGTTGAGAACCACTGGTCTAACATCTGCCTGTGATAACTATGCCACCCTGGCATCACAGCTCTGAATTTATGTCACTAAAAACATTGACATGAACTGCAGGCCTGTAATCAGTCCAAAGCTGTATATGCCTTCCATTAAGTAAGCAGCATCAAATTTAGAGTAAGTAAAGAAATAATTATCCCCACTCTAAAAAAGTGCCCACTGTTACTATCTGAAAGGTGTTCTGGTAATACAGAGTCCAATCCTGCCAACACTTACATGTGCAAGTATTTTTATCCAGGCGTGTAAATCTTTGCAGGAATGGACCTATAGTTCATATGTGGTACTTTCAACTAGTTCCTTTTGAAATTTGTAGTTAGAAGTTCCTCCCTTAAGGTGAAATGCCAGATTCTCCACTAAACCGCCTATGTGTTTTCTTTGCTATTTTCAAGTTATTAGGTAAGTGTAAACATAGGAAGAGAGAAAGCTTGAGAAAACACGTGGCATGAGAGCATCACCTATTTATAAGTCTGCAGAGGAGAAAAATAGACCATAACAATGGTAAGTTTAAGAGACAGGAAGTAAAGAAGTAGAGAAAAAGTAGAAGACAGAAAAAAACCACAAAGGAAAGGGAGAGAGAAACAGAAGAGAGCAGAACAGGTAACTCCTTCCAGTACAAAGAACTCTTCTGCGGTTGGTGGGAGTCCCTTGCCTGAACAATTTTATTATCTGCAAGTTGATCTTTCCTAGAGCTTCTACATGAGCAACAGCAGCTCCTTCATTAAGGCCTTGATCACAATGGGATCAGAACCATGTGAACTAAACCCATGTGCAAATCTCATGATCAGAGTGGACAAGGATTTTTTTTTTCAAATAAGAAGTGTTAGGAAATACTTGGTAGTAAAGTTTGGCTAAAAAGTCAACTATATAGAATCTAAAAGACTTTATAAACACAAGGTATGTCGTCCTTGCTGCAGCCTATACAGCAGGGGTAGTCAATAGGCACCAGGTCCTTTTGAATGGACTCTGACATCTTTTTATTTACTTATTATTATTATTGGTCTTTTTAATTATTGTCTCTGGAGTCTGGACCTTGACTATACCTTGACCAAGAAATTTGGACCTCGACAAAAAATAACGGACTTCTCCTGTTATAGGGATTCTCATAGTATAAGTAAGTAAGTAGTATTGCATCTGCAGGTACATCGAGACACAGAATGTGACTGCAGCTCAAGCAAACACACCCAAACTGCTTTATTCTAGCTAGCTCAGGTCCCGGAGCAGTGATGCTGTGGCAGCACATGCTGCAGAATGAGCAGTACAAGCCTGCCCAGAACCCTGGGTAATTACTGGCAGGCCTAGCCCATGCTG